GGCAGAGGTGTCAGCCATGTCTCTAGAGGCTAGAAAATGAGGTGGGGGCTTACCTGGCCTCGGCTGGGCTCCCTGGGTGCCCCTGAAACACTCTTCCGACCTTCCACATACACCACTTCACAGCAAGCCTGGTCCTCATTGTGCCGGCTCTTACCAGCGTTGATGACCCTGCCAGGCCAGAGTGACCACATCAGGTTGGACACCAGACCAGGGCCTGGAATAACTCCCACCTTAGACACACATACCCTCTCTGGCCTGCAGGCCAAGCTGAGAAAGGTCACAGCCACCTGGGAACCAGGCCAGAGGGAGGAGGAAAAGGGAAGCAGGAGGCAGGGCAAGGCACAAGGAGTACTGTCTGGGTGCTGGGCCCATCACATCACAGAAAGTCCACAGCAGCACCTTCCTGCCTGTTTCCCAGTCCCTGGCTAAGGGACATCCCTAATGGTGCTGCTGGGAGAGGCCTGGACCGAGAAAAGGAGACTTTTATTCCTGGCTTGCCAAGACCCTACATCCCACCCTGACTCCCAATAAACCCTTCCAGTGCCTTGTCCACAGCACCCCACCCTCATAAGCACACCCACCTTTATTCTAAAATCACCCAGTGAAAAGTTTCTGCTGCTTTGGAAATGAGTAGGTGCTCCAGCCCAGATCAGGAAAGAGGAATTGAAACAAGGTAGGAGTGGGAGCCCCCCTGGACTGCGCAGGAACCACCTAGCCGCCAACTCTTCCCAAATAGGAAGTTAAAGGAGCTGGTAGTGGGGCCACCGGGTCACCAGCCATCGCCCTCCGCCACCTGAGCGCCCCCTTCTCCCTCAGTGCTCTGCTTTCCCAGCAGACGCATTAAAAATACACGCGGCCTCCGAGCAAGCCGGCTGTTCCCACCACTGCGACCGCTGTCGCCCCAGGGTCCACTTCCTTGCCTGGCCAGGGCAAGTCCACCGGCCCAGGGGTGTTCGAAGGAGACCCTCCCGGTTCCCCGGGCGGCCCCTCCCCCGCCCCTGGGGAAGCCTGCGGCCGCCTGGTGTCGCAGGCTATTTCTGGGTGTGGAGGGGGAGGGGAACGGTAAGAGGGACAGGGAACTGGGGCGCTGGGGTCGGGAAGCCCAAGGAGCTTTTCCAGCTGCTATCTCCTCTATTAAAAGGGACCCCCGCTCCTCGAAACCTCTCCTCCCTTAGCCACTGAGCTACCGGGCCGGAACTGAGAACTGGCCAACTCATCGTTAGCGGGCCCTCCACCCTCGGGGCTCTGGGAGAGCACAAGGTCCTGAAGCGGCGTGGGTGAGGGTAGTCAACGAGTTGGAAGGTCCTGAGGAAGGCTGGACCCGACTTGAGAAAAAGCTGGGCGTGAGCGCGGCCAGAATCCCAGGAGACAGCAAAGGTCCTGGGAAAAAGGAGCTCCTGGAACAGAGCGCAGCGAGGGGGTCGCATCCCAAAGTCCGCGATGCGGAGGTGGGGAGGGGTTTGCGGTGGGAATCCCATCTTGGTTAGGGTGCCCCCGGGGACGCTCACTCGGCGTAGCCCGTGCTCCAAGGTAGGCGACGGCCGGTGTCCGGGGGGCTTTGCACAGCCCGGCCAGCGTGGTCGTCGGCGCGTCGCAGCCCCCCAGGGCTCAGCTGCAGAAATGTCGGTCGAGAGAAGCTCGCTCGAGCCTCTACCGTCTTCGCAGGCGCCGCGCTACCTCTCTCAGCCCTCGCCGGAGGGCTCCTGGGAGCTTCTGGAGGGGCGGCGGGCAGCGCCGAGGTCGCTTTGGGCAGGTCCGGGGACTTGGGGCTCGGAGGCGGGGCACCCCCAGAGCTCACCAGGTGCGCCACCGCCGAGCGCACCCGGTTTAGCATGCTGCCTCCCTGCCCCGCCCTCGGCCGTGGCCCCTCCCCAGGGCAGGCCTCGCCCCCAAGGGCTCCTGGGGGCGGTGCTCGCTCCTGCCGGCTCTGCCTCGCGATTGGCTGCCGGCCCGCAGGGCCGGTCGCCTGCAAAACTTCCTCCGGCTCTGGGCCACCCCGGGAACCGCCCCACCAGCTCTCTGCCTCTTCCCCGCCCGGTTCTGGCGTCGTACGCCTCAAATTTCCTTGGGAAGGAGGGTCTGCTGTTGTGGGAAGGGGATGGAGAGAAGGAAACCTTATTTCAACCTAGCTTTAGGTTAGACATCCATTAGGACGGGAGGGTGGTGTCTCCTCGCCCTCGGTTCGTGGTGGCGAGACTGCACTGAGGGTGATGGAGCTGATGATCTCAAAGCGAAACCACTCGCTTCGGCGACCGCTGGGTGTGAAGCTCCTGGTGTGATAACACCTCTGGCTGGGTCTGCTGGAGTGCGAATAAGGGTGAGCGAGCTGGTGCTGGGAGTGATGTTGAGGGTGATAACGAGGCAGGATGGAGTCGATCATCCTGAATTAGGGAGCTGGGGTTAAGTCCTGGATTCCTGAGGGGGCAGTTCCCTGGGAAGACCACCACTAGATCCGGGAGAGCGGTTGCCACTCCGACTCCACTTTCTTCTTCAAGACCCAATTTCCCCCCATATTTAGACCTGCCCTGACCACGGCAGAACTAGTTAGTAAGGATAACAACAGCAATAGCTACCGTTTATTGAAGAATCACTACATAATAGGCCTACAAAGCACTCCCCACACTTTACTTCATTTATACAGCTTACCAATCCTACAAGATGGGTTTTACTGCGTTCTTTTTACGGATGAGGCAGGACTCCTGTCATTTTTCATGACTTGTCCCAGCCAGTGTGAAATTCATTCCCATGTCAGTTTCCCAGCCATCCAAACCTGATTCTGTCTTAAGAATCAAGCTAGTTTGTCTGGATCAGGGAGGAAGGGTTAAGACATAGGTGAAAGGTAAGGAGAAAAGTGGGGGTTCCTCCTCTCCCACCCTCCTCTTAAGGCAGAAGCCGACAGCAGTCCAGGTATACTGAACAAGTCCTGTGGCTGCCGCCAGGGGGAGACAGAGGCCGGCTAAGCGCCTGCCCGGAGGAGAAGGTGATACTGACCTGATGCCAGAAGAGCTATGTTCCTTAAGTCTGAGAACTAACTGATCATTAGGCATCCGGAGACACCTCCTGCCCTACGTTTGGTTCAAATGGGGACACGGCCCTTATGGCCCTAATGCAAGTCGGGGGTAACCCTCAGACTACTAGTACCCAGTTCATGGTTGGGGATTCCACCTCTGACCATGATCCCCTTTTCCTGGGTTAGACTGTGCCCCCATAAGAGGTGTCTTTCCTGGTAGCTTCCAAATAAAAATCTCACAATGGTCATTCAGGTTTGTAACCTTCTAAAAGTATGCCTGCACTCTGGGCAGAAAGATAAATCACAAGTGAAAAAAAAAAAGTCAGACCCAAAGACACATAGGGTAGTGAAGACAGACGGAGAGAAAGAACATGGTGCTGTGATGAGTATTTCCTCTTTGAGAAAGACTACAACCAGCTCACAGATAAATGACATAAACAGCAGCAGCCAGCCAAAGTCTGAAGAACAAATATAACATCCTGGCTATTTTTATTATTCAGTGTTTCTGGGACACTTGGCTTACCACTTCTTCATGTCACCCAGGGCCCTCAGCCCTGCTCTTCACACAACACATCATGATGTGACTGCAAGTGGGCCACAGAAGTGGGATCCAGAGACCCCTATTTCCAGCACCAGATGGCCAGTAGGGATGTCAACAGATCCCCTGGGTTCCAGAACAATTCCCTAACCATACCCAAATCCTAAGGCTCTCCTCTCCCAGAACCTCTCACCTCCTATTCCCGGCACCTCACACCTCCTCCACCCTCAGACTGCCCCAGAATCTGGGGAGAAGGTCAGCACCTCTACTCATCCCTGAGGCAGCACAGAGTGAGAAGGGAAAGAGGGGTGGGATAGTGGGGATTGTCTTCTCTGCTGAGAACTGGGAGTACTCAGAGGTTGGTCCTGCCTCAGCTAGGATGGGAGTGGGACAGCCTCAAGATGCATCCCTTTATCCCAAGCCACGTGCAGTGGCTCAGAGCCCAGAACTGGGCTTCTTCCCATTTCTTCTCCCCTCACTATTACTCCAACCCTAAAGCCCTCTTAAACCAAGAAGAGTGTCCTTCAATTAAGAGACAAGTTCCCAGACCACCACCTCCCTCTTCCATTTATCTAATACTTTAACAATCAGAACCTTACCCTGTAAAGAATTATACAACATACAACTGCAATTATATGACAGTTTTTATGGTGAAAAAAAGTGGGTCTCAGAATTTTGTTCCCAAGTTGGGATTCATACCCGTCATTCTCAGGGACCATTCACCTGCCTACTACAACCCTCTTTCCTGCCAGGTCCCCACCCTCAAACCTCCCCTAATCCTTCGTGTCCCTGAGGACACCACTCGTGTGGTAGAGATCGTGCTGTTTCCTCTTGGATTTTAACATTTTAACAGTGGAGGGCTAGCTTATCAATCTAGAAGAGCATTGTTGAATAGGGCTTTGTGCAATGTGGGAATGTCCTATATCTTTTCTACTCAGCACAGTAGTTCCTAGCTACATGTGACTATTGAGCACTTGAAATGTTGTGAGTACAAATGAGAAACTTAATTTAAAATGTTATTCAATTTAGATTTAGATTTAGATTTAAGTAACCACATCCCGGTAGTGGATACTATATTGGGCAGTACAGTTGGGGAATCTTCAAGGCTCAAAACCCCTGAGGGTCTGGGCTATCGCTCCTCACACTCAGCTCCCACCCTGAAACCCCAGACCCCGAGGCTTTTGAAGGACCTGAGTTACCCCTGTCTGCTCCAGGGAGATGGTCATCATCATCATCATCATCATCGGAACTGCACGGCGGCGGGAACCCAGCGGTCCTCTCTTCCCGGCTTCCCTCGTCTTGCCTCGGCCGCCAGGGGCCGCTGCGCCCCAGCTGTACCCGCAGGGCCGGCGGAGCGCTGTGCGCGGTGCCCGGCGCTGTCCGGGAGGAGGCAGCGACGCCCGCGCGAGGCTGGCGGAGCGGGGGCGGCCCCCGGCAAAGAGGAGGCGGCGGCGGCGGCGGCCGCGCGCTCCCCGGACTGCAGGCGGGAGCTCGGGGGATCCCGGCTGAGCTCTGTAGAGCTGGCCGGGCAGGCCCGGAGATCCCCGGTACCCGGAGCGGGCCCGGCCTGAACGTGATGCCAGTTTGGCCAGAGCCTTGGGGACGCAGCCTTGGGGACGCAGCAACTTGGTGAGGGGGACAGGGCTCCGGACTAGACAGCACCCACCCGAGCTGGCCGCTCCCGCCTGCAGTCTGCCTTTAGGAGTCGTGGTCCCGGGCTCAGAGGCAAGGAGAACCTCAGGTCGGCGGGTGGAACCACTGGGCACCGCCGTGGGAGAGGTAGGTCCCAGGCGTGTGGGCTCAGAATTGGGAGGACCGAGAGGGCGCGGGGCAGGAGCAGGTAGGGAAAGGTTAGAGGATCTTGTGGTTCACATTCTCAACCCCACGCTGGTGTGCAGGGGGGTAGGGAAAACAGCCTGGGAAACTGAGGCAGGAGTGTGGAAGCCTGAGAACAAATCCCAGAAGCTTCTTTCTTTAACTCTCCCTGAGGGAAGGAACAGAATGCCAGAGAACCCACCCCATTCCCCGCCTCCCCCCCAGGTCCTTTGGGTCTTGGGACCCATAGAAGAGATGGAGGAGTTGGATTGCAGGGTGTGGCAGCTCAGAGAGAAATGGGTCAGGGACCACCTGAGAAAAAACAAGGCTGCATTTTTTATGATCAAAATGAAGGTTCCTAATGGGGACAGGGAGAGGAGACATCTACACAGAAAAAAGGTCCTTCTAGACGCTCTCTGCCCACAGAGCACATTCATTCCAGTGGTATTGGTACCTCCATCTGCCTCAATAGTCCTTTCTGGGCTCTCACTCTGAGCAGCTCGGACACAGGGTTCTCGATCCTTCCTGGGTCCCAGCAGCCTACCTGCCTCAGTTCCACCTACCTTTGGAGGCTGAGGGAGAGGAGGTCTTAGGGAGGAATGGAGAATCTCTGAGGCTCAGAGACCTGGAGGACCCCCTTTATGGCCCTCTGGAGTGGAAATAGGGGTGAAGGTGGCAAAGTTGAGCCAGCTCCTGGCAAATCCAGGAAGCAGGTGTGATGGGACTAGCAGGAGGAGGCAAAGAGGATTCAGGACCTCAGGGTGACTTTTCCCAGAAGCAGTCCATCAGAGTCTGCTCAGGAAACCTTCCCTGGCCTTCAGCTCCTTCCCAAAGCCAGAGAGGTGATAGCGTTGATTCTTAGACACCTCCTACCATCAGCCCTGCTTCGCTCCTGGGACAGAGAAACTCTCTCCAGCTACGCTTCTCAGGCCTGCCTCGCTATGTGTCCCCAGAGCCTGCCAGGACCCCTGCGAATTCCCAGGGCATATGAGGGACTATGCCCCCTGCCCTGGCACCTGGGGAAACAGCCTCAGAATTAAGCTCAGTGCCCAGTCTACCCCGTTGCCCTCACCCAGGCCCCCCTCCACCCCTTGCAGGGCCACGGGCTCCCTCTGTCCTTTGCAAACCCCAAGAATCTTTCCACCTTGTCTAGGTAGAGTGAGTCTGAGGTCAGTGGATGAACAGACAGAAGCTGAAAGATCTCCAAAAAGGTGAGTGAGGAGACACTTAAAGAGGGGGAGAAGGAGGGCGGACATGCTATCCAAGGGAGCAGCTGGATCCTGGCATTTGGTTTTGCGCCTGGTGTTCCCAGCATGGTGCTGGCACCTGAGGGAGCCCAGCGATGCCCCAGGGGGGCAGCAAAACAGCAGAGGGGCCCTTCTATGCTTGGGTTGCTCCCAGCTGCTCTGTGCCTCTGCTTCCCTGGGAGTCCCTCCATGTCTAGCCCACCCTCTGGGATAGACTTCAGAGACCCAAACTATCAAGAATGGAGGAAGAGGAGGAAAGGGGAAGAAAGCAGAAACAAGGAGGTGCCATAGGAAGAGGGCAGGCTTCCTGGCTCTGGGCTCTGCCACCCCCATGCTGCCTGGTCTTAGGCAAATCATTTGACTTCTATTAGCCTTCGTTTCATTTCTTCCTTTTTAAACTTAAATTTTAAGTTGAATTGCTAGGACATTTCCCATGGTTCAAAACCCAAAAGGTAAAACAGCAATAGGGAGAAAAATGTCTCCCTTCTACCTCTTTCCCAGCCAACCAGTTTCCCTTCTTGGTGGCAAACAATGTTACTAGATTTTTGGGGTACATTTTCTAGAACTAGCTTACCCATATTTGAGCAACATATATAATGCCTCCATTTTGCACATTGAATACACACATCCTACACTTTACTTTTTTCCCCTAAATGATGGATTTTTGTTGGAGATTGCATGCCTCAGTACATAAAGCATTTTCTCATTCTTTTATAGCTGTCTCGATGGGACTACATTTGCACAAATGACCCACAATGTATTTAGCCAGCCTTTTATTGAAGGTTGTTTAAGTTGTGTCCAGGCTCTTTGAGTATCAGTTTGCTCATCTGTAAAATAGATACAAATAATCCTATTTTGTAAGACAGTTGTGAAGGGCTCAAGAGCATGCTTGCAGAGTGTGAGGGTCAAGCGCTCAAAACATGGGAGTCAGCATTGCTGTTCCTCCCGTGTCGCTGCCCTCCATGGGACCAGGTCTGGTTCATTCCGTAAGACCCCTCCTAAATGCCATCTCCTCCGCAGAGCTTTCCACGCGTTTCCCAGCAGAACAGTCTCCTTCCCGCTCTGCTTCCCTGTTGGTGCGCTCACCACTTTCTACAGTGTTTGTGCCAGGCTGAAAGCTGCCTGGGGACAAAGTGTGCAGCTTGCCCGCCTCTGAGCCTCCCAGAGTGCATGGAAACAGTGGTGCAGGGACTGGGAGGTGGCGGGGCTCCTGCTTGGAGTCAAGCAGGGTGTGTGCTTCTCTTTGCAGGATGCGTGAGAGGGCCGCGCAGAACGGGAGCACGGGCGGCTGGCTGCTGGCACTTTGCCTGGCGTGGCTGTGGACCCGCCTGGCTTCGGCCTCCTTGCAGCCTCCAACTCCAACAGGTTTGGGGGAGCTGGGGTGGGGGTCCTGGAGGGCAGTTCTCGGAATGCTTGGAAAGCTGGCCCCCATCCCATCCCATTTCATGGCAGACAAATCTCAGAGGTCCAGAGTAGGGGTTCTGGTTCCTCCTCTGTTCTTCACCCAGAAACTCTGGCCCCCCTGCTATGCTGGCCTAGAGGAGGCATGAGCAGACCCGTTACATACTTTCCCTTTCAGGCCAGAAGGTGTTCTGCGGGGAGAGGAGCCCCCGGGTCAGGGCTTAAGTCTAGCCTCCTGGCCTCATTCTGTGGTTTTCCTTTGGATGGCTAAAGCCTGTGTAAGCGGATGATCCTCCCCACGCATTGTAAGCCCAGGGGCCCTTGGCCTCACCCAGAGGAAGCTGGGAGGTGGGGGCTGGGTGGACTTCATCTTTCTCTTGCCCAGGGGCCAGCCTCTGCTAAGGTGATGAGTGTGGCCTCACTGGGAAGGAAGGCAGGACAGGAACACTGTGAGGTTGCGGGAGGATTTCCTTCTCCTGTGTAGTTGGAAATCTCTGATCTACCTCTGCCCCGAGCTTGAAGGCGGGGTTGGAGAACAAGTTGGGAGCAGATGGGAGGGGAGCAGGGTTGCTGGCCTGGGCTGGGCATCCAATCCTGGGCTGGCCCCTTCAGTCCCCGTGAAGCAGGGCACCTGTGAGGTGATTGCGCTCACCGCTGCTGTAACCGGAACCGCATCGAGGAGCGCTCCCAGACCGTCAAGTGCTCTTGCTTTTCTGGCCAGGTGGCCGGCACCACTCGGGCCAAGCCCTCCTGCGTGGATGGTGAGTGAGAGGCTGGGACCAGGTGGGGAGGTCGCAGTCAGAGAGATAAGAAAGTCTGTCCAGGCCTTGCCATCTGCTGGGGATACGATTTCAGACACATCTCAGGGCTTTCACGGTCGATCCGAGTCTCAAATGATGGGGCCACCTGGGGGGGAGGGTGCAATGTGACATCCCCATCCCATGGTAAGGAGAGCTCTGTTACACGCAGACCCTCCCCCTGACCCCGCCCCTGGCACACATGCCCTCCCTCCTGGCCGCACCTACTGCCTGGCACACCCATGGGCTCATTGCCTCACACACATCCTCTCACGTCTCCTGACAGGCTCATCACTTCACACCCACTCCTCCAGACATTGACTGCATCACCTGCGGCTCCTTCCCAGGCCTCTTACACGTGCCCTCTCTTATTCTCAAGCCGGCCTTCACCCTCCCCTCACATGGACATGTGTGTATCTCTCGGAGGTGAATTCCTGTGCATCCACCCCTTCCCCTGGCCCCACCTCTGCTCTTTTCCTCCCACTCCTGTGGCAGTGCCAAAAATGTTCCCACTTGTGCTCACACACACACCCCTGCTCGTGTACTCCTGGCCTTGTGTTGCCAGAGAACGGGTTCTTGCCTCGCGCAGGAAAGAATTCAAGTGCGAGGCATAGTAAAGTGAAAGCAAGTTGATTTAGGGACATACACACTCCATAGACAGAGTGGAGGCCATCTCAGAAGGCGAGAGAGGTGGCCCTAGGAGACACATTCCACAGACAGAGTAAGGCCCATCTCACTGAGAAGGGAGAGGGCCCGAGGTGTGGGGGTGTTTGGTTTTTATGGATCGGTAGTTTTATATGCAAACAAGTGGGAGGATTATTCCAATTGTTTTGGGGAAGGAGCGGGGATTTCCAGGAATTGGGGCCCTGCCCACTGTTTGGCTTTTTCTGGTCAGCGTAGGAACTGTAATGGGCGCCTGTGGGTGTGTCATTGAGCGGCTCATGTATTGCAATGAGCCTGTAATGAGGCTCAAGATCTACCGAAGTCGAGCCTTCCACCATTTTGGTAACCATTTTGTCTTGTCCTCAATTGCTGTGTCATTCCTTCAATGGTTGTGCCCTGCCCTCTTCTCTCCTGTCTCACGTGGACCCCTCCAAATGGCCTGCACACTTGCTCACACACACCAAGGGGTGCATTGAAAACTGTGCCTCCGTGCTAATGACATGGCGGTTCGACTCAAGGGCTGCCTTAGAGACAACGTCCCCTGCCTTCCCCCCGCGCTGTCTTTGATGAGATGTAGCAGTTGGTGGGATTGAGGTTGGTGCAGTCGTGTCCCCAGGTCCCAGCCTGAGTACTATCCTTCCAGGAAGCCTGGAGTAAGGAAAGGACAAGGGAAATGCAGAGCTCAGAGCCAGGGGGTGTGGAAGTGTGTCCTTCATTCTCCATCCTCCCCTCCCCCCGCCCCCGCCCCCACAGCTGCGTGCTGTACCTGCCCAGAGCTTAGAGCTGCCCTCACAGCCTCCTGCTCCCACAGCCTCCATCGTCCTGCAGAGGTGGTGGTGTCAGATGGAGCCCTGCCTGCCTGGGGAGGAGTGTAAAGTGCTCCCGGATCTGTCGGGTTGGAGCTGCAGCAGTGGACACAAAGTCAAAACCACCAAGGTATCCAGGGATGGACACTTCATCCCACCCCTACTCCTCCCCCTTCCCCGGGGGTGGAAAAGAGGGCACAGGAGCCCTGGGATCTAGGATGTCAGTCTCCCAAGGTGAGAGCTACAAACCAGGTGGGCATCTCCCTGGACAGTCCCCCTGGGTTTGTCTTGACTCTGGGGACTGGAGTTGGGGCCTTTGGATTTGAAATCCAGTGTGTCCTTCAGGGAAATTCCCTTATGCTCTGTAAGCTTTAGTTTCCTCCTCTGCCTAAAGGAAATTTGCCTCCCAGAAAATGTCAGGTCTGTAGGACAAAGTAGAGAATTGAGGAAATTATCTAGGTAATTCAGATGGGACTCTCTACAATAGCCCCTCTGTCCACCCACCCCTGCCATAAGCCCTGCCCCACACTCCCATGATTAATTAACTCCCTACAGCTCACATCTGCCTGCCTCTGGTTGGATTGCTGTTCTGTGACAGCACTCGAGAGGATTTTTATTTTCATGGTTTGCTGCCTTCCCTGCAGAACAAGGGGTAATTAAAATTTGATTGAACTCCTTAGCAGTTCCGTGTGTGTCATGGTTAATCAGTTGTATCAGTCTGTCATGGCCATTTGTACAGAGGGGTGACACTGGGGAGCAAGTCAGAGCCCTGCCTCTGCCTTCTCTCCCCACAACCACACACAGCAAACAAAACAATAGAGAAGGAAAGATGGCCTGCGGGTGTTCTGAAGAGAGCCACATTTTCCTAGGGCCCAAAATGAGCTACAGCAAGAAAGGTGTGGCTGGATCTAATGCAGAGCTTCCTACCTGCAGGCAGGCAAGGGAGACAGCCAGTCTGAGTGTATTTAAGGCGGGAAGAGACCCACCACAGAGCCTGTGACATTTGTCACTATTTTATAGGCTTGGGTGTGTAGCCTGTAGGTCGTTGTGTTTGCAGTTTGGTAGCTACTCCGAAGCAAACAGTGGTGATTTGTGCCTGATTATGTTTGCATGGGCCACTCAGCCACGCTTTTCCCAGTCTGCACTACTTTAGGGGGAAAGGACCTGCAGCAATGACCTCTACATGACCTGCACATCCTGCGGGGTCTTGGGCACGCTGGGATGGGACAGGCATGCCCTTCTCTAACCTTCCCCATCACTTGCTTTCCAGGTCACACGATAGCTCTTGGGGTCACGTCCTGAACAGGACAGCTTGATTAAGCCACAGACTGGAGAACGGTGTCCAGTTATCAGTCACCAAACGTGGAGATTCACTTACCCCGACCCACACCCTGTGCCAAGTACCGCAGCATTCTTTCCAGGGGCATTTCAGTCGAGCTGCTCAGCAGATACAGAGCACGTGTCTCCAGGCCTGTGGTGTTGGTTCTAGGGGACACAGAGGAAAGTCAAGATACCATTCCTGCCCGTAGGGAATGTTCAGTCAAGTTGGAGAGCTGATGAAAGACACTCTAGATAGTTTAGATTAAAGTATGTGGTATCAGACAGTGGCTTCTGGACCATATGCTATGAACATGTTGGGGGTGTGGGGATGAGACTCCCACAGCTCTTTGGCCACCCCCGGCCACAGGGCACAGGCAGGAGGTCACATTCACCACCCACTGCTTCCCTCCCTCACATCAGTCGGAATCCCCGGCAAGCTGCTGAAGGAGAACACTCTCCCCTGATGCCAGACCTGCTGTACCTCGTTTGGATGGGACTGATTTGACTCGGGAGAGGGAAACAGAGATGAAAGCAAGTAACTTGCCAGCAAAGCTTCTGCAGAGGCCTGGCCTGCTCCGGGCTGCTTACTGGGTATGGGCTGGACGGGACCGTAAAATCACCCCCATCCAAGCACCTCCGGTTTTTGTTTGTTTGCTTGTTTTAACAGAGGAGGGCACTGAGTCCAAGAGAGGCGAGGTGACTTGCCCAAGTTGTCACATCTTGGGCTCTCAGATCTTTAAGACTGCTGACCTTTCACTTGGCCTGGATTTTGGGGTTCCAGCCTAGGCCTTCCATATTGGTTTCATCTCAAGAACAGAAACCTGCAAAGAACTGGCCAGTCAGCACAATGTTTCTGAGCAGGAAGTTTTACCAAGGTCACTCTTACCTGAAGTATCCAGAATATCTGCACATCAGGATGCAGGGCCACTGGGTCTCCACTCTGCCCTCAGCCCCAAAACTTCCAAACAGACCCTGGGACAACCCAGAGGTCCCTCAGCCTAGTGAGAAGCAGGCAGTCTGAGCTGGCAGCCCCACTGCCACTCTCACCCATCTCTTCCGGAGTCCTTAGGCCATACCTCTCAGAGGCTCTGGCTCCAAGAGAGGGTCTGGGTGGCGTCCAGGGCTGGTCACAGTCTTCTCCCTTCAGAGGCCCTGCTGGGCAGGAGGGGAGCACTTGCTGGGCCTGATGGAGCCTCTGTCCAGGACTGAGGGTCAGACGGTTTGCAGATGACACACAGGCCTCAGGAACTCAGAGACACCCGTTACTTGGATGTCTCATCAGTAAGAGAATTACTGCTGGCGTCAACCCGCATCAGCCGGGATCCCCTGGGATCACCAGCATCACAGAGTGTGATGGGGCCTTGAGGGAAGGGGCGTCAGTAGAGACAAATGGGGACAGTGCTGAATTCTGACCCTTGGAGAAGACAAATCAGATGATGAGTTGGGGCAGAGTCTCCGCCGCTCCCTGCTTCTCTCCCTCCCTCCCCGTGCAGTAGAGTCAAGATCATTCCCCTACTCCAGGGCTCTTGTTTTTGCATTTTTTGTTTGTTTTTGGTAATGGGGTGAACAATGTGCGGCTTCCCACTAGACTATAGATGTCAGCGCTTGACAACTCTCAATCTCTGCAGAGTGGGGTCCCAGTGGGGGTAGTCAAGGAGTAGGTCAAAAGTTGTCATCATGTCCTGCAAGGTTGGAGAATTAATTAAGGGGTTGGCATACTTTCTGGAAAGGATAGTATGTATTTTGGGCTCTGCAGGCACCAAACAGTTTCTGTGGCATATTCTTCTTCGTTTTTGTTGTCATTTGTTTCATACTATCTTTAAAAAAACTTTTAAAAAATGTAAAAACCATTCTTAGCGCAACCTGGTACAAAACCAGGCCCTAGGCAAATTTTGGAAGGTTGCCAACCAACCCCAGTGAACTTTGAAGGCAGATCATCCCTGCAGCTTGAGTCTGCCTCCCTCCGGTCTGCCTGCAGAGCAGTGGGAACCTGAGCGTGAGGGCTGGGTCAGGTTTTGTTTTTCTTCTAATGTTCCTTGAGAGATTGGTGAGTGAATTATTTAGGCTACAAATGAGACAGCTTTAGCAGTCAGACAATAAGAGCCTGATCTCCTCAAGGCCAGGATGCGGGCTTCTCCACTCCCTCCCCATCCTTCGAGACTGTGTCCAGGAGGGAGGGAGAGGGCTCCGACCCTTGTCCATCTGCTGCATCCACAGAAGCTGAGCTGTGAGCCAGGGGATGAGCCTGAGAGAGTGAGGGTTATGCTGTCCAAACTTCCCAAAAGCCACCAACCACCCCAGCCCCTGCCTCAGCCAAAGTCCAGCCCCCTTGATCCCCCCTGACCTCCCTCATCCCTGCTGCAGAGAAGACCTCTTTCCTCTGGCACGTGCTGGAGTTTGCTAATGCTTTTTTTAACCCCTCAAAGCCTCCATTTCCTCCTGGCTTATTCATTGGTTTATTTGGTGGGCTTTGAGGGATATTCTGTGTGTTGTCAGGTAAGCCCCACACGTGAGGACCTGGTGGAGAAGGGAAAGCATCTCACCTCCCAGTGGGACCTCCCCAGGGTCCTGTCTCCCACTAAGTCACTATCTGTGCACATCTCATAGCTACTTTGATGACAGCATAGGGATGCAAATTAACTTTCCTGGAACATAGAATTCCTGGAGTCATTGGTGTTCCTTTTTTCCCCTTAGTGGGATGGGCTCTCCGATTCCCTGAAGTTAGCCGGTACACCTACCTCCTCAGCTTAGAAAGGTTGCCAAGTTACAGGAGATCATGTGGCTAATTTCTGTGGCCTCCTGGCAGTTTCATTAAGGTCTGTGAGTGACATCCTAATTAATGGCCCCAGACAGTAGCCTGGAGTTGAAGCCACAGCTTCCTAAAATCACACGCTTAGAGCCAGAAGGGATTTTAGAGAACATTAGCTAATTCCCTCATTTGACAGATGAGGAAAGGGAGCCTCAGAGAGGTTAGGTGATTTGCTCAAAGTCACACAGCAAGCTGGATGGCATGTCCTGCCCAGTGATCCAGAGAAGTGCTTTTTACACTACTACACATTGCCTCTTTACCCTGGTACAGATGAGGGCCCTGCAGAGAAGCCAGGGTTTTAGCAAGGATGAATATGAAAGAGTCTTATTCTAAAATCACCTGACCCTGTGAGGACAAAAGGACAGAATGAAGAAGAATTGGAAGCATTTAGAGATATATGCACAGAAAGGGGAGAGGAGGGACAAAAGGGGGATTAAGATCACTCATTCAGAAGAACATCAGAACACCAAAGCACAGCACAAAATAATCAGAATAAAATTTGATTTTTATCCTTCTAGGAGATAAAGAGACAGGAGGAGACAGAATGGAAGTCCAATCAATCTTTGGAAGAACTGTGAAGCCAGTTTTGACGGCTTCAGGGTTCTTTAGAGCCTAATGTGGGTCTGTAAACCAAGGCCTGTGGGCCAAATCTGGCCCACTGCCTGTCTTTCTAAATAAAGATTTATTGGAATGTAACCATGCTCATTTGTTTATTATTGCCTGTAATTACGTTCCTGCTATGATAGCAGAGCTGAGTCACTGCAGAGAAACCATATGGCCTACAAAGCCTAAAATATTTAATATTAGAACTTTTACAGAAAACTTTTGCTAACCCCTGCCCCAGTATTTTTATAAAACCCTTCTCAGTACACCTGTACAATCTGGAAAATGATGACTGTATAGATATATTTTTTTGAGACTGTGCCTGTGTCCCCTTTAATCCCTTCCACTGCTACTTGTGAGAGCTAACAACCAAGAAATGATGAAATGAAGGCTAAGAGGCCGAGAAAAAGACTTGGAGCAGATGGATGCTTCCCTGATGTGTTATCACCCCCCAGAGCAACTCAGTTCACATTCTCCAAGCTCATGTAATTTCTGCTTTTAATCTTCAGGGAAGTAACTGCACGTGCACCCACGTGTAGTTAGAAGTGGTTAGAATTGCTGGCAGGCTCCAGGCTTGTTCCACATCAAGCTTTTCTTAGCAACCCTCAGGCCTTCTGACCAACAGCAACCCCAGGCCAACCCCCAGATGCAGAGGCAACGGCCTTTCCTGTAAACTCCTCCACCAGCTCTCTAGGGTCCTGCTCTAACAACTGCACATGCCTGACTTCAGAAGGGTTGATTAGTGACTATTCTTTGATCCTCCAATTTTTCCATTCAGGGGCTGATTTCCCTAGTTTTTCCAAAAATGTATAAAGCCTTGTTCCTAAAATAAATCCCTTATTACATAATTCTCTTAGTGGCTCTCCTTCCTGATTGAACACTTTCTAATACTGTTAGTATCAATATCAAATCAGTATCAGGCACTATTATGGGTACTGGAAATGATTCCAGAGGAATAGAACTTTAAGGATAGGAATCTTGAATTGATCTGATTAATGATATTAATGACCTTATTGTTAATGGTAAAGGTGACACTGGTAGACCATGGCATGCAGTGGCAAGACAGATACATCAATTATCATCTGTAGACAGCTGTAATTAAGATACGTATAGAAGGCAAGGCTTTGGGTAACCAAGTAGTTGCCACCACTGAACAATCTAATGCAAATAAAGAGCATAAGGGGGTTAGCTGGTTGCTTCTAAGTGCACTCAAGAAATTTGAAAGAAAATTATGAGCTCAAGTCCTTAAATTCCCAACCCATGGCTTGTGTAAAGGAGTAGGGTAGTTCTATGATGGCCTGAAAAGAAACTCTATTTCTTACAGCTGCAAAGGTGAGACTTTTGAAATCCAAACTCAAAGTAGTCAGGCGGCAGTCTCTAATTCCATTGTAGTAGAATCATTGTTATGTTCCCTGATGTTGGCATTCTTCCCTTAGAAATACCTCTAAACCGGCAGTGCTCAAACTTTTAGAAACAGGAAGTAGCATTTTGCTAGTGACTCATTAGAGAGAGGACTGACAAGAGCCACTGTCAGTAGCAGAGAGGGCTATTGTGGTGGGAAATGTCAGGGGGAAGCCTCTGGAGTGGACTGTGCCCACCAAAATGGTAAGCCCACAGCCGTTTCATTCCTGGAGGGATTGCCGAGATTAGGGTCACCATCAGAACTTGAAGGATGTAGTTGTGGTGATTCTTACCATTTCCTCATTCAACTTGCCTATCGTTTTGTGCAGAATATAGATCGCTCTTGGAGAATGATAGTTAATTATCATAAACATAACCAGGCTGACTCCAATTTCCACCTCTGCTCCAGACATGGTTTCTTTACTGGAGCAGACATCCTTGGCACCTGGTATGCAGCTATTGATCTGACAAATGTTTTTTTCTTTATATCTGTGTAAGGGAACAAAATTTGCACACTAAAATATCTTTTCAGCATGCCAATTATTTCAAGCTAAAAAAATCAAGGCCCCAAAGACTCAGGAAGAAACTTTGATCTTCCCCCTAATGCCTGAAGAATTTACATAGAGGACCTGTTATAGGCCCAGAGCTATCGCTGAGATATCTGCCCAGAACATGGGCTAGGTGTGGTGGGGGAAACTCTTAGAGATCAGAGTCCACTCTGTGTCCCACTTTCTCTGCATAGACCAGCAAACATTTGTTTATCAAACATTTGCTTTCCCATCTTCTTCCTCTCCTTTGGCGTTCCAAACCATTACCCCCATCATCCTCATTTGTCTTTAGCTGAAAGGGTATTTAAGGTGAGGGTCTCAGCCATTTTGGTGAGTTTCTCAGTTTTCCCAAGTCTCTCCCACATATGCATGTTATTAAACTTCTGCGTGACTTTCTCCTGTTAATCTGTCTCATGTCAGCTTAATTCTTAGACCAGCAGGAAGAACCTAGAAGGGTAGAGGAAAATTTCTTCATCCCAATACCTGTTAGTAAAGATCGCCAGACACAATTGACTTCCTTTTCTTTCTTTCTTTCTTTTTTTTTTCACAATTGACTTTCAGCTGGTGGGAACAGCAATACACCTTCACTCTCTCTCCTCAAGGCTTTGTCAGCTCCATGGATGATATCACGCTGGATGGATCTGAAGAGTGGAGAGTAGCTAGTCCTCTAGACACTTCAGCAAAACACATGCATGACAGATGATGAGGATTAAATCCCACAAAAATTTAGGAGCTTGCCACCCTGGTAAATGTTCTAGGGCTCTAGTGATCTGAGGCATGTCAAAGTACCCTTGTTGTGGTGAGAGACAAGTGGCTTTTCCTATAAGTAAGAAAGAAGTTCAATAATTAGTGAGCCTCTTTGGATTTTGAAAATAACATGAGCTTCATTTGGTTATGCTGCTCTGACTCATTTATCAGAAAAGTCAAATACCTCCTGTTTTGAGTAGGACCCAGGACAAGAGAAGTCCCTGCAGTCTGTGTACGCTGCTGTGCAAACTTATTTGCCCCTCGGGCCACACAAACTGTCACATCCAATGGTGCTTGACGTGCCTGGCACTCTGTGGAGCCACAGACACGGTACGGAGCCCTTGGCAGCCTCTGAAGATGAATCACAGAGCAAACCCTTAGGATTTTGGATCCAACTATGCTCTCCAGAGATGGGTCCCAGCTTTTACTGAGCTCAACCTGAGACTGAATCTCTGACTGTGAATCACCAAGTTACCATGTGACCTAAGCTGCCCATCAGGTGTGATAGAAAAATATGATAAAGAATAAAAGTGTTGACTGTTTGAGCCCTATCATGTCATTTTAATTCAATAAACTGGTTTCACATACCTTGACTCATCCAATCTCCATAAGGTAGGGTAAATATTATTAACAGCAGTTTATAGATGCAAATGCTCAGAGAGCAAAAAATGTCTGAGGGCCTTCAATAGCTGTCTCACTAGCTGGGAGGTTAGGACCAGGAAAAAGCACATGGAAAATGAGAATAGAAGGGGAGACTATTTTTTAATGTGAATTGTCTTATTTAATCCTCACAATTCCATAGGGTAGGTATTGCTATTTGGATTTTATAAACAAGGAATCTAAGATTCAGAGAGATTAAGTAATTTGCTAACAATCACACAGCAAAAACGCAGAAGAACAAGAGTTTGAATCCAGATCTACTCAGTTATAAAGCACATATCTTTTCACCACACATGAATTGTGTTTTGGTCATCTCCTCTGGGATTGAGCTGCCCAGAGTCCAAATACTTCACAGTTAATCTTTAGGGCAGGTGAAAGGGGTCAGGGGATGGACTGGGTAATAAATGCCATGATAGAAGTGTGTCCTCTGTGCTACAGGAGAAACTATCTAGAAAAGAAACTAAATCCAGCAGGGGGAAGGCAGCCTGAGAACCAAGTCTTTAAATCTGAGTGGAAATCAATGAGGTAAAATGTATGTATGTGTGTGTGTGTGTGTGTGTGTGTGTGTGTGTGTGTGTGTGTGTTGGAAGGAAAGGAAGAGGAAAAGTTGAGGAAAAGCACTTGCAAAGGAGGAAGGCTTGAGACAAGTTCAAGTGAATAGCTAGCTGTGGCTGGAATATAAGTGGTAAGGAGAGATGCAGAGATATTTGGCTGAAAGTTGGCCAAGGGTGAGCTCAGAAAGAAGCTGGATGCTGTGCAGTCTGAGTTCTGTTTCAAGATGATGGAGGACCTTGCCAGGGCCCAGGGCAAGGGAAGAGGCAAGCTGCCACTTTAGAGATAGAGCTGTAAGGCCAGATAACAGGGTGAATACACAGAAGGGAAACCAGTTAAGAGTTTTGCCAATAATCCAGGTAAGAAATAATAAGGCCTCGAACCGGAAGCAGTGGTTGCCTGGGGGTGCAGAGAGGGGAAGGAGGAAGATGAGTATATTTTCAACTCTGAAGTCTCTCTCCACTCCTTAATGGATGCTTGCTTTTCTCTCTCCTGCAATCATGGAGGTCTGAGTGCCAGCACTGACCTCACACACAAGATTACCTATGTGCTGCTTGAAAGACACTAAAAGCCCAGCATCCTGACATGCTGCTTCTCCAGGGCCTATAACCCCTCCACTGGAGTCCCTTTTTTGGGGCTGTATTCAGACAAAAGCAAACATTTACTGAGCATTTATTGTTGCTTTTGGTTCATGACATTTTAAGAGGCCACCACTCAAAACTTAGCTAATTTCAAGGAAAGGCTGGAAGAGGAGTTTGGAGATGGGCTGTGGCAATTCCAGGGGATCTGATATCCAGGAATCCCAGGAAAGAGAGGAGGCCACACTGTGCAGGAGGGATGGGCTGCTGGATTGGGGCAAGTAGCTCCTGCCGTAAGTAAGTAATTCCTGCCCTTTAGCTTCCAGGAAGTTTAGGGCATTGACCTTCCCTTTTCTGGCACAAGGTCAAGTTTCTCTTTAACTTTTCTTTATGCAGGTGGATTCCCAGACCCAGCTTGTTCTGTACCAATCAGAGCCTAGGTGCAGCAGAGAAGGCACGTGATGGAGCAGC